GGGGCAAAAAAGATGGGGATATGTCCTAGGGAGATACTACCTGCTTGGTAACTGAATACTGATTCCTTTGAGAGTGTTTGAGGCCTTTTACATAAGGTTTTTTTGGTGTCTTATCTTGCTTTGATTGTCTTACTGTAGAAACTAGTCATGCTTTGATAGCAGGGCTTAACTTCTTTAAACAGCAGAAGTAGAGGAAGAAGAGATAATGTGTATTTGGGAAAGACCAGGTTTATAAGGCAGCACAGAAGAGGAAGCCTGCATAGAAGAGGATGTCATGACTTTCTCTATTCCTTGAGTCCTCTTTGTGTTGGTGAAGGATCTTCTGCCTTGTCACTGGAAAACTGAATGATAAGCTAATGTGACCCAGAAAGTTGTTACTCTCTAGAAAGTACAGGACAGAGTTGCAGTGATGACCATTCTGGTTGCAGGGTTGGTATGTGAGTGCACTTTTCCGCTTTCTTCCTTCCCCAAAACAAGGTAACTAGCAAATACTGCTGGAGCGAGTGAGGTCTCTGCCTTCCTTCCAGGTTCTGTGTCTCCAAGAGGTGCAAGAGAACCATTACTGGGAGCAGCTGGAACCAACGTTCAAGGAGATGGGTATGTCCTGCTTTCGTGTGTGTGTACCTCCAGCTCACGCTCATGGGACTGGCCAAGCAGTGCTCCTGCTTAACGTCTTCAAAGCACTCAGTCTTGAGAGAGCTCTTCCTGTTTGTTGGGTGGCTGCTGGCCCTACTTCTGAACTGTCTGCCTAGACCTTTACCCTTTCTTTAGTAATTGATCTTTCTCAGAGTTGACAGTTCAGAGTAACAAAACTGAGAGGGTCCTAGGAGAACAAGAAGAGAGAAAATACCCTCAATGATAAACTGTGATTACTGGAACAGAACTGGTTATAATGCTGGACGCAAATGTAGTAGGAACCTCTTCTGCTGCACAGACTTGCTGAACTCCCCAGCTGATGGGAGGAGCCTGAGGTAGTGACTGGATAAACCTTTTAATAGGCAATGGTTTCTTTTCAGGCTTTGCATGCTTCTATAAACGGAGAACCGGGACGAAGACAGATGGCTGTGCAGTGTGCTATAAGCACAGCAGGTTTCAGCTGATCAGCCTCAGCCCCGTGGAGTACTTCCGGCCTGGCCTGGACGTCCTCAATCGGGATAACGTGGGCTTGGTGCTGCTGCTACAGCCTCTGCTCCCGGAGGGCCTAGGTCTGAAGGCAGTCAGTCCTTTGTGTGTGGCCAACACTCATGTGTTGTTCAATCCCCGGCGGGGAGATATCAAACTGGCCCAGATGGCCTTGCTCCTAGCAGAGATCGACAAGATTGCAAAAACTACTGAGGGCAGCTACTGTCCTGTCATCTTGTGTGGAGACCTTAACTCTGTACCTGATTCTCCACTCTACAAATTCATCAGGAACGGTGAACTTTCCTACCATGGGATGCCAGCCTGGAAGGTAGGTGCTAGCCAAAACGGGGATTGGGTAGCTCTTTAGTGCATGCTGCTAGAGAATGCATGGCTGCATTCATTCTCTCGTGAGGAAATAGTCCGCATACTGAATTCAGTTATTCAGCAGTCTTCCCCAATGCCTCCAGCACTGCTGGGGAAAGAAGTGGACAAAAGTATGTGTGTTGTTTACACCACTGGTCTTCTGGTTTCTCTTAAGGCAGACCAGTGATAATAGACCACTTAATTTCAGATCCTGGTTCTCCCTTCCTATGGGATTTTTGTGCCTGGATGACTGGAAGTGTAGGGGAGTACAACTCCACCAAGACTTACTGAAATTTTATGTGGGTGTTTGATCTGAAAACAGTTTGAGATGGGCACCTATGCTAGAGTCTTTTGTGGTTACCTGTTACTGCGTCTCCGTGCTCACATACATCATTGGCTTTCAAGCTAAATCATCAGTTCAAGAATAGATACGTGCAAAGTATCTTGTCAGGTGACTTTTAGCTAATTGTATTCATCCCCCACAGCTGAAGGTTTATTATATCTGCACTGTATTCTGAATAGCTTAGTTCATGCCTTTCTGTGAGGGCATTCTCCTGTCTTGCTCTCGGCAAGTGTATGTATGTACATTGTCTATAGCCTGCAAAAGTTCTGCTCTGTGTTGCTGATGTTTCCTCTCCTGTTTCTGGCCTCCTTGCAGGTGTCTGGTCAGGAGGACTTTTCCCAACAGTTGTATTCACGGAAACTGCTGGCCCCACTGTGGCCAAGCTCACTGGGTGTGACGGACAACTGCCAATATGTCGCCCTGTGCCAACCAAAGAAACTAGGTGAGCTCTGGTGTGCACTGAGAAGAGGCGTTTGCTGAGGATGGACAGTTTGTGGTCCTTGCTGTCTCTCTGAGTAGCTTGGGCATGTGTTGCGTGAGGCACTTGGCCAAGGTTCTGTTCTTCTATCGATTTCCATGGTATATGAATTAAATTTAATTTTTCTGGAGTCTATTGCTGTAGACCAGTTTCTGCCATTTTCTTTCGCTATCCAGGAGCTGAATATTCCCCTACCAGTAACCATTGTTCTATGTATCTCTTTCCCAGACTTACGGTTTTGTGCAGTTGTAAACCATGTTCCTCAGCCACAGCTTTCGGTCGCTGGTGTTTGTGGGAGTGGTTTTGGGCAGTACTTGCACACCACTATTTGGAACCCAGTATTTGCACATCACTTCTAAGAGCCCACTTACGATCACGACTGTTCTCTACTGCCCTTAGAGAGGATTAAAAAAAAAAGAAGTGGGCTGTTTAGCCCACACTAAATAGCTTTTGTTGGAATCTTGAATGTAGGACTTGTATTCAGCCTGATCTCCAGAATTGTTTTTTCTTTCTCGGCAGACATTTCCTTGAGTTACATGCTAACTGATCTGCTTAAAAGTCCCTTGAACTTGTGGTGTCTCAGAGGGAGGGGACATTCTTAATTTGTTTCATCAAGGTGCTGACCGTGACTGTTGCATTAGCTAAAGGGATAGCAATAACTGTGCTCTGTTCTTCTACATTTACGCATCTGTTCTGTTCTACATTTAGCTTAAGTGATTCTCATTCTTGTGATATCAGAGTGCTTGGGCACAAAAACCTCTCTCAAACTAAAGAGGTTTAAGAGGTGTAAAGGTCTGAAAAGTATGCAGATGTTCCCTGGAGATGTGACTTTGCTGCAGTTATTTTCTTCTTTTAACTTAGATTTTTCTTTGCAGGCAGACATAAGTACAGCCGGGACTTCCTGCTCCAGTTTCGTTTTTGTGATGTTGCTTGTGAACGACCACCACAGCTGGTCCTCTTGGAAGGTGTGACAGATGCTAAACCAGGTATTAATGGGAGACTTTTCAGCTTGTGACTCTGCTAGCTCAATTTTGATGAAAACGTCAAGGTAATGCCTGATGAGAAAAAGGGAAGGCGGAAGGGTGCCTTCTGTGGCTGTGCGATTACTAATGGATACCGTGAGAGCTCAGAGGAGTACAGTCTTACCACACTGACTGTGCTGCTTGAGGTGCACTGAGATTCAGCCGCTTTTGGAGGCTGTTTCTTATAAAGTGAAATATATATTTTTTTAATTTTTTTTTCTGCTTCAGGAAGAAGACTGTAATGTTACAATGGCCACATCATAGATGTCTCTGGATGCTGCTACTGCCTCATCTCTGGGCCTTGTGTCATGGCTGGTTCTACCCTTTCCATTTCTCTTCTGCCCTCTCCATTTCTCTTCTGCCTTTCTAGATACTCTTTAAGTAAAGCGTAGGCTAAGGCGAATTGACTGTCATTGAAAGCAAAAGTTGAAGTATCCTGAGCTTTGATGATATTAAATGCTTTAAGGACATGTCCTTAGCAGGACAGAATATGACTTCTCACTTGTTTGCACTGATCTGCTCTCAGGATGTTCCTGTTAGTCTTAGAGCTGGGGTTTCCTTTGAATATTTTTCTTTAAGGTACCTGTGACTGGAAGCTATCTGCTCTTCTTGGGCAAAATGATTCATTTGGTCTCAGGAGAAGCGTCTCAGACTTTGAATGATCAGCCTGTTCCAGGATCTGTGTAGGTCTGGCTGGAATCTCTTTGCTTCTTTGCAGACCGCCCTGCACACTGGCCCAAGCCTGCTGCCATGGTGAAAGACACCGATCCCCAGCCATTCATCCCAAGGTAATTTGGTGCACCGTCAATGGCCCCACTCTTCAAGCCTGGTCTTGTTTTCCTGAGCACTGAAAATCTGGTTGAAGTAAAGACTGAAATAAATGTAAGTGTGGAAGAGAGTAAGGAGGGCTGTCTGGAAGAGCCAGATCCACCCAGGGTTGTCCGAGCAGCTGGGCGCTGTTCTGTCAGCATGGTGTTGGTGAGGTCAAGAATGAAGGGCATAGACAGGACTGGGTGTTGGAGACAAAGGAGGTTCAAAGTCTGCTTTGTCTTTGGTGTAAGTGGAGTCAGTAATTCTGAAAGACTGTCTTTTATCTGTTATCAGCAAAGGAACATCCAGCTTCAGCTGTGACTGCAGTACTGAACACTGCATCATTCTCTTTCCTTCCTTGGTAAACAGTGGCTGTTCATGTGCAGGTCTTCAGGCATTATCCAGCATGGCCTCAACCTGACCTCTGTCTACAGCCACTTCCTGCCACAGAGGGGACGCCCGGAGGTCACAACGATGCCCATGGGGCTTGGAGCCACCGTTGATTATATCTTCTACTCAGCAGAGCCTTTGGCAAATGGGAACAGGGGGGGTGAGTGTGGCACAGGTTTATCCCTGTGATGTTGGGAGAAGGCTGTGAGGCATGCTAGAATGCAGCTTGGTGTTGGGCAGTCCATTTCGTTAGCTGGGGTGGATCTGCAGGGTGTGACTTTGGCTGAAATGATGCACCAAGTGGAAGCAACATTTGCTTACATATCATGAGAAGACACTGTTTATCTTTGCTGTGGAAACACTAGGCTTAGGTTCATGTAGACTTTTGAGGAAGCTAGAACAGAGTGCATTCTATTCTTTTCTGTAAGTATCTTATTTGTGCTCCTGATAATAGGCAGTGCTGGGTCCTAAGTTAAAGGCTTGGACTTCTGGTCTGACTGAGACCACGCAGTGGCCTTAGAAGGTGGTGACTCATTACTTTACAATGGCACCACCTCTCTGCTACCTGAAACAGGAGTTATGGTTGATGAAAGAGAGCATGTAAATGCATCCAGGAACTGGGTCTGAGCTGGTTTGGATCATGTCAGAATCAGCTTTGGGGAGTAGGTTAGGAATGAAGAGATGAATTCCTCCTCAGGAGAGAATCTGAAGCTATTGCTAGGACTTAGTACCATGAAAGGAACTTACCATGTAAGCAATTGCCTGGCAAATTTAGTATATACTTGATTTCTGTGCCTCCAAGTATATGAAGCTGTTGAACAGCGGTGTTATAAGATGCTCGCTGCTTTCGTATCTAGGCTCAAAGGTGCTTGCAGTGTTTGTGCAGGCTGTTTTCGTTCGTCAGGGAAAGAATAGGAAAACATTGACAAGCATCCCTCTGTGAGTGTATAGTTAAATCTATAGCACTAGTCTCTGACTCATGTTTCTTTCCATTTTCTTTGTCAGGTCGAAGGCTCTACCAGGATGGAGCCCTGAAGCTGCTTGGCCGCCTTTCCCTTCTTTCTGAAGATGTCCTGTTGATGGCAAATGGCTTACCAAATCCTTTTTGTTCATCTGATCATCTCTGCCTGCTGGCTAGCTTTGGCTTGGAGATCTCCAGTCTCAGAGAGGGTTAGTGTTGGTTACCTTTCCCTAAAGAAAACCTGGTTTGAGTACAGCAGTTGAGGCTCTGGATTGTACAAACTGCTTGCAAGAAAACTCTTTTCCTTGTCATGCCCTGAAAGTCCCATTCTCCCCTCACACCCTCACAAAAAGCAGGGATGGGAGAGTTGGAGAGCATTTTGCATTGGTATTTTATGGGTCTCTGCCAACCTGATCTGTGTTCCTGGTGGGCTTCCAGTTTTATTCAGGCATTACCATCTCTTATGGGATCCTGGTTCCACTGCTTTATTTAGTAGATGTTTTAGTGCTGCGGGAACCAAGATAACTCCCATGTTTATTTGTCCCTGTGTGAGATCTTCAAAGAGCTGGGAAAGAGAGGGGCAACACTGCCTAATTCTGGTTAGTTAGTTGCTACCAAGGAGCCAGGGATGTATATCGCAATATTCTTTCGCACCAAAAGAATGGTTCTTTTAATTTCTCAGTGATAGTTTATGAAGTATGGTCCTTCCAGGACTAGTTGTCATGTTGCCTTTGAGAGTGTTGCCTCTGCTAACTGCTTGGAAATGGCTTTTACTTAATAATGCGTAAGGGCTGCTTTGCTGACAGATGGATTTATGTAGTTTCTACAAAAAGCTGCCTGCTGTGACTAATGGACCAGGGAAGGGATTGTCAGGAATGGAGCTGGGGTTCTACAGAGCCACCTGCAGGAGCTCTAGAACTGCAGAAAAAGCCTGGAGGCCTTGGAGAAGGCTCCCTTCCTTTCTAGCAGTCTCAGAATGTACCTAGTTTGGCACTTGTAGAAAAAATATTTATGATCCTCCCAGTGAAGATCAGGTGGAAAAAATCATCCTGTAAGGTATGACAGCCTCAGGAGGCTATAGCTCTGGGAGGTCCCAAAAGAGAGATGAAAATGGAAGGCATGTGAGAGGCAGCAGAGCCATCAGATGGAAGAGCTGATACTTGTCACTTGCCCTACCCTTTCTCTATGCCCTCCCTATTCCATTCAGCCTGCCAGGGGTCAGATAGCCAACCTGTTGCATCATCCTGCACCAGAATGAAGTTCCTGCTACTTGGAGGGTACAACCTGCAGGACTGACTCCTGTGTCTTGAGAGGCGTTGGGAGGGAGGAGAAGGCTGTGTGACTTGGAGCCAGATTGTCCATTGCTTGGATCCCAGTGTGCCTTTGGTGTCCTATCAGTGTACTTTTGTCAGCAGTGGCTTGGCCAGTACAAAACCAATAGAACTGTACCTGTTCCTAGGGTAGATTCCCCTTTTCAGCCTGACATTTGGTGCTCAGTTTTTCCATGAGAGATGAGAGCAATATTGGCAGAAACTTACTGATCTGTTCGCAAATGAGGCAGGGAAATCTGGTCTCACCTAAGGTTTTTGTGGGAAAGTATGAGACTTGAAATATTGTTCTCTCTTCCTGGGTTATATTGGGGGACTTCCATATTTTAAATGTTACTTTCTTTATTGAAAAACAAAATATTTCTAGTCTAAGAAAAAAACACAAAATAACTGCAGCACCTTGTGCTTCTGGCAGCTGAACCCTCTGAGGACTTGCTCAACAAGGCTTTGCTGGCTGGAATGTGAAAGAGGAGAGGACAAATTAGCTACACAAGATTGTAGTAATGAGGATTGAAGAGAGGGAACAAGTGGACCTAGCTGTTGTCTCCTAGCACATCCCCAAATCCCAGAGGTGGTTTATTTGGCATGGGGCTTGTCTTGCAAAATGGTTTACATTCAGGAACCCTTCCGCTCCTCCCAAAGAAAGCAAGTACTGCTGATTTTGTACAGCTCACTTCTGCAAACTGTGCAGAAACAAGGGGTGCGGGGATGATTGTGTTCTGTGCCCATATGATTGTGTAAGGACTGCATATTCCCTTCTTGCCCCTGCTAGATGGAGTGGTATTTGCCTAGACGCGTAGATGGCTTTTGCTACCCCAGTTGGGGTAACATGTAGAAGTCTGTATAAGTGGACAGAAATTTGGGGGTGAATAAGTTTGCAGCCTTGTTTGCCCTTACTTTCACAGGTAATGGTTCTGGCGTGGCACTGGTGTTTGTACACTGGGCGGGATGCAGAGCTGTGTATTTCCATGGCTCTGATTATCTGACAGTTGCACTAATTTCTGCGAGTACTCTTATTCTGATTTTGTAATTGGTCGTATTTGTAAAGGGAGGGGAGGAAAGGGAAATCACTGAACTGAGAGCTTTATTTTCTGTCAGACTTGAAAAGAGGTTGCCAGAAAGCAGCCTGGTTGCAGATAACTCCCACCAGCTGGTCACATTGTAATAGGAAACTTGGAAGACACTAAAGGTTTGAAAACAACCAACAAAAAGCAAAACAAAACCCACTGTGACACAGAGTGGTGGCACCTACAACTTTGGCTGTCTGCTTCAGTTGTAATTGCTGGCTAGGTCTGATGGTCAGTTGATGAGCAGGCTGTGTGTTTGCATGAAAGCAGCCCTCCTGTCCCACCTACCAAGACCCGTAAGGTGTGCACAGTACACCATCAGATGAACTAGTTGCCTCTGCACTGGCCAAAGCACCCTGCCAATCCTGTGATGTGACTGAGGTGTAGGAGCTGTGCTTCAACATCGCAAGTGCTTCTTCCATTTTATTTAAACCAAAGATTTGACTTTTCTTTTGGGTAACTTGCATGAAGGCATTTCTCAGGGAGGTTTTAAGGTTCCAGCTATATTTTGTCGGAAAATCTGGTGTTCCACAGGTCAAGCTAATGCTTTCCTTTTCAATGCATGAAATTGTATGGTATGAGCTTGGAATGGTTAAGTTATTGAACGCTGGCTATGGAGTCACGTGCTGAGAAACCCCAGGACAATGCCTGCAGTCCTCTGATTCTTCTTTCTGAGGGTTAGAAAGCTCCAGAGGGACCTGCAGCTCCCGAAGCCCTGGCTCACACATGCTTCCATGAGCATTCATAGGTGAAACTATTGCAGAAAGGCAGGACCATTGCTAGTGACTGCATAGAGACACATGAAGGCAGAGTTGAAGATTTGATGGCTGTGGTTGTTTTGACCACTGTCCCTGAAGCTCTTACAGAGGTAGCCTGTTTCAGGAAAGAAAAAACCCCTGTGTTCTAGAGCATTTTGCTGTTAACATCATACGAATCTGGAGACCTGTGAATGCCCCCAGCTGTGGGCGACTATAGGAGAAGTTTGGAGGAGGAGTGGATGGAAAGCCACTATTCCTCTCCTCCCTTCCTCTCCTACCGTGAGGTTGGAGAAGGGACGGCAGTCACTCTTTGCCAAAATAAAATAGCAACTAGTATATAGTTGTAGGGAGAAAATAATGTGTTCTGTGATGCTATAAGAGTAGCACACAGTGATATAAGAGGCTGTGGTAATGAGCAACTCATGGTGGGACGCAGAACTAAGATTCCAAATGTAGCTCTTAACACTGTTAGCTGACCTAAATGCATGACTAGTTGTCATTAGCACAGCTTTCTGGTGAAGTACAGAGGGGTCTGTAAATGGTCATGAAAGTGGAACAACAGGAGTATCTGCTGCACTCAGAAAGGGAAGGTATCGTAGAGTTAGGATCATCTACATCAGATTAGTAGTGATGTGGAGGTCAGGGAGACTGGTACTTAGGGGAAGGGATGCCAGAGACCACTGGCAGTCTGTATACATACCCTTTTATCAGTCTTCTAAGCTGCAGGAGCATGCAGCTGTAGAGACAAACACATATTTGACAACAGCGAGACAACAGCTTAGATTGCACCACAGCTGCTAGGCTGTATTTAGTTATGCTGTTTAGATAGAAGTTGGACTTCCTTCACTTTCTCAGAGTTTTAAGTTCATCAATTCAGGAGGATGCCTTTAAAGTTTTCCCAATTATGTGGGGTGGGAGGTGTGTAAACAATGTAATTGCTCTAGTTTCTTTCCTTTTCTTAATAAATGAAACTTGGCTTCTGCTTGAGGTCTCCTTTCTCCCTGCCTTTTCATTATGAGGTATCTTTGCAGCAGCTGTTTTCCCACGACTGCCAGATCCAGTTATCTTTGAGTTACTGATGTTTATTTTTTTTCTGCAGCTGTATTTCTTCAGTTAAAAGCTGTGGGTGGAATTCTTTAAGGTTAAGTCTTATTAAATAGGATCAAGCCATAAAATAGTGGGTTCCCTCACCCCTGAAGAGTTAAGTGGGAGGGGTGGAAGCTCTGAAACCAACACTTAGATGGGAATAACTCTTCTTATATTTAAAAAAAAAAAAGTTTTAAGATTTGTCATTAGTGCACTGTATGCCACCTGCTTTGTGAAGCACAAGAGAACTCTGAAATATACTTGACCTTAGTTCCTCTTCTCTGAGGAGTCTCTCAGAGGCTCTAAGAACAGTTCAGCATCTCAGAATCTCTTTTAAAAGAGAGGATCAAGATATGTGTCCTGCTCCTAATGATATTTGAGAGTGGTGTTAGCAAACATTCTGCAAAGCAGGGTGTTGCTACAGTGCAATTTCTCCTCCCATTGCCACCACCCTAGTAATGAACGTTCATTGGATGTACCGTTAGGAATTTGCAGACATATCCATGGTTCATCCAAATGCAGATGAAGCCTTTTTGTGGCTCACTTAAAGGAGGAGCACACAAGCCTTTGTGGGATACCATCTCCTTTCAGTAGGCTTCCTGTTGTGCAAGTTAATTGAGTTGCTGGCTATGACGTGCTCCTTACCAGGCTGTAGCTGCCTGGCCTGTAGTGTTTTCCGTAGTGCCCTCGCACTGGAATGCGCAAGCTGCACAATCACTGCCGCTGAATGTACTGCATCGTGTTTCAAAGTATTATACTGAGTTTCTGTAGAGAACTCGCCTGCTATGATGATAGCCAAGATGTCCGATTTAACAGCTGGCACACCTCAAGCTCCTTCCTTTGTCAGCTGTACGTTTGGCTGCTTCTGTCAAGGCGAGTTATCCTCCAACTTCCACTGAAAACACCATTCTAGTCTTGAAGCTCTTTTTCCTTTTATTTATTTTTAGATCTATTTTATTTCAGATCTAGAAGACACATTCTTGTGCTCTAAGGGAATAGGA